AGGGTTTCAATTTTCCTTATAAAGCGGCACGAACTTACTGGGCAACCCAATATTTTTCTTCTCCTGTCATAACGCTTAAATATAAAAGTTTGTCATGCCGAATATGACAGATACGTATTAACTAATATAAAATTTTGCCTTGTCACAATATATATAATACTAGTTTGGCGCAGTATTCTAGTATGTTTGCCGTAATATCTAAGTTTACCGGTTCGAATCTCAGGCTACTTTTTTTTCATTTTATCAATCACGGGGTTATTTTTTCATAACCAGTAAAAATTTGGTAATGTAAAATTTTGCTCGACAATTTTTTTTTTTATAATTTTCGCTGTCGGGTAGAAAGAAATTTAAATAAAGTTAACAACAATTAGGTCAGACCATCGCGGGTGAAGTGAGTGGGCGGAGCGTGGATTGTCTTTGCGGGTTTTAAGAATGGTACGCGCGGAAACTATACGTACAAGTGTTATCTACATATGTGTGCGCGCCAAGCACACTGGCATGTTTATTGCAATCGACCAACAATTTGATGTAGTTTGGATATTGACATTCAGTTTTTTTTCTTTGTTTCTTAAATATAATCAGTATCAGTAAAAGGTAAAAGTAAAAGTGTTATTTTTACCGGTACAAGTTTAACAAACATGAGTAATAAACAAATTACATGCCAATAGCATCGCTTTATCTCCTTCATTTTTGTTTGAAATAGAAAAGTACTTTAACGGTCAAACTCATTAGTCCAAGGCAATATCAAAAAGTACCTAATAACTACGGCGATAGAATTTATTTACATGTGCTTCGATATTAAAATTAAAAAGTTTAAATATAAAAAAAAATTGTGGCTTGGGATTTGAACCGCCGACCTTACGTATCAACGGCGGCGAACGGTAAGGCCACGAGACCAAACTAGCATATATGATGACAAACTTAAATTTGATGTTGGTTTTATCTACCTAATATCTGTCATCCGCGTCGAACACTTTTAGTAAATTTTGAAAAATGGTTTGATGCAAAGTGTCAAATGAATGTAACAGAAGTAGTTTATTCCAAATTGTATCACAAGTATATAGAGATAGAGTTCAATTTTGTCAAATGTACCGATATTTTTGCGCACCTTGACTGCTTCGTGACTTATGACGCTGTGGCTGCTACGATATTTATGAGCATCTTGCATGTACTCATATATTTGACGCTGTGTATGTACCGATGTATTTGAGCAGGGTGGATGCATCTATTATTTTGAGGACTTTTGTTGTACCGATATAATTGAATACTTTTGATGTACCTATATATTTGCATATCTTGTCTGTGACGATCTATATGACGCTGACTGTACAAACGACCAGCAATGGATTGCTTGTTGATAAATACCGTCTTTCGATGCGGGCGGCGCGGACGATGGAGTCAGCGCAATATAAAATCATACAAAGCAAACTAAAATGCGTTGCGAGCAGTACGTATGGTGCGTCCTGCGCGGGCCAATGACCAAGTAATAGTAATAGTAAGTAATAGTTTGGAAACGATGACTTTTTAAATATAAAAAACACTGATCTAAAACCAATGATAAACATAATTATAAATGCAAGTGACTAAATCTGCAATTCGCATAGATTTATTCCTGCCTTTGCTACATTAAAGTCAGTAGTACATTTGACCGACTTAATCTTGAACTTAAAAAAACACACAACACATTTAAAAAATCAAAGTTCACTAAGAATTACAAAGCTTTTTTGCGTCGATAATTGCAAAATAAATTTACAAAAGCTAAAATAAAGATAAAAAAAGATAAAAAAATAAGACAAATAAAGATTAAAATTCATGATAGCTGCTATATTTCAGATAATGTGCTGTTAGAAAATTCACTTAATATATTAGAAAATTATTGTGGTCATAACATTCGACCACAATTATGATACAAAAAAGTTTTACTGTAAAGAAATTCAGCAGTGTTAAACTTGTTTTTTCTTAGAAAGATATGGGTTTAAAAGAATAATAAGAAATATATTTCCAATCTAATCCTATACAATATAGATCCGGGCTAAATAAATATTAAATAGAAGATGAACATACAGAAAAAAATATTTTTATTCGTATAGATTTTCACATTTCGCCGAATAAGAAAATTCTCAAGAATATAATGCATTGAGATAAAATTTGTAATATCTTAAAATAAATAAAAAAAACAAATAGTAATTCGTCAAGAAATAAGGTAAACTTCAGGCATAACGTTGTGTACTACATAATCTTTAAAAACATCGAACTTAGATTAAGCAAATCATTATTTACACACTACCAAATAAAAACTTTTTATTTAAAAGCTAAAACACACAATTGAATTAAAAAAAACAGCCAAATCCCTAACGTTTTCTGAGGAATGTTTATTGGCATAACACAATAACATCTCATCAGTGTTTAATGAAAAAGATTTGATTATAAAAAAAATACAAAAAAAAATTGATTTGAGATCAAAACACGATTGTATAATAAATGATTATTATGTCAATAGTTTTAAAATGTTAAAAAAAATCAATTCGTCTTTTCACTTGACACAGTCGCGAAAGCGAAGCCGATGCGAAGCGAAGTTTTATACTGGATTTAACTCGTTCCAGGAAACTTCGCATAAACACAATATGCGTTATAGAATCTGTTGAATAATTTGAAGTAAGATTTTCGTTTTCGCTTCATTTTCGTTCCGCTCCGGTTTCGCGTCTGTGGACTGCTTTTAAACTTTAGCTTAAGCCAATTCATTTTCATTAGTAAACCGAAAATCGGCTAATAATTAGATTCCCGCTAGAGATCTTTATTGTATAAATATAAATTGATTTTTTTGTTTTTTTTTTCAAACTTTTATACATAGAAGAAATAGTCGCGTTATCTAAGATTAGACGAAGAACATTCTGCTGAAATCGAGCATCTTCTTAAGGACGTGAAGTCGCTTGGGATGCCTTTCCAATGCCTCATTGTCAAATTTATCGCCGCTAAAATAAAAATAATTCCATATTAATTCTGTCAGACTATTTATCGGTGGTTTCTGAGACAAAAATCTCCATATACGAAGACAATATCTATTAAACAGGAATTTTTGTCTCAGAAACCCATGGTCAGCAATATAAAAACATGCACATAATATACGCACAAACTTAGATTTAAAAAAATTAACTCCAGCTTGATACCTTCACGCGTTTTTGAGAAAAAGGGTCTTGACAAACGGACGGACGGACAACAAAGTGATCCTACGAGGATTCTGTTTTTTTCCTATGAGGTACGGAACCCTAAAAAGATGTATTTTTCGACGTCTCTTTATATCGTCGTATCTTTATAATTCAAATGAAAAAAAGCATTACAAAATATTTATTTATATATATCAACGGATCTTCCCAAGGCAAGATATCTTTGGAAGATTTTCCCCAACACAAAAAAAGTTATAGTGTACTTGCAGCGTCGGTGGCTCAGGGGTTAAGCACTTGACTTATAGCCTACAGGTCTTTGGTTCGAACCCTCCATGTACAAATATATTTTTAAATTTTCGATTACATATGTATTATTTATCTGAATTTCTTACTGTGAAGGAAAACATCGCAATGCAACCTGCACATATATGGGAAGAAATTCTAAGACATTTAGTGAAATCAACTAATCCAATCACCCTTAACTTAGAGTTGGCTCCGAGCCCCTTGGTGTATAGTGAGCTGATGATGATTATTATTTTGCCTGATTACTACCTAATGGTTAGTAATCTAATCATCCCTAGCTTAGGGTAAGATAGCCTCTCAGTGGTGACGTATAGTGAGGTGATGAGTGTACACGTACTGTGTGAGCGACTTGGCACGCAGACAGGCGAGATGTGCGTAGTAGGTTGGCGTGGGGTATGAGACTGCCCGCATGCAGCGCGCGTACAGATGACACAGGTAGTAGGTCAGCTGCTCCACCTCGTCTATCGGGATGCCACCGTCATTGCACACCGCGTGGTAGCGGGTGGGACGCGCCGTGCCCTTGATAGCCTGATGGGAAACCTAGAACAGACAATTACTTGTTAATTTACTCTATATTAGTAAAGATGGGAAGAGAAGCAATAAGAAGGGGAAATATCCTCTTTCTGTGCGCCCCCTTCTCCGTCGACTAAATGTAGGTAAACTGTGTGCAATCGCGGATGTCTTTGGGCAGCGGTCACTTCGCTATTTTCGCGAATTCGGGTGACTGCTTGCCCGTTTGCCACTTTATGATATAAAGAAACACTAAAATTCTGCAATGTCATGTAAGTGCATAAAATCAGTTCAACGTGTTAAGCAAATAATAAGTTGCCAGTAACAAAGGTAATAAACTTACCAAATAAAAGTCAAGTTCTTTGGCATGCACAATCTGTGTGTCGACCACTGTACCAGGCTCAACGTTTTGAGGATTCTGAGCTCCCGAGAAGAATCTAAAATAAGTATAGTATTAATTACTAGCTGTCGCCTGCGACTCCGTCCGCGCAAAATAAAAAATTAACTAAATTATAATAGTAGCCTGTGTTTTTCCAGACTATATTCTACGTCAGTGCCATATTGCATCAAGATCCATTTATCCGTTCCGGAAATTCCAATCAAACAAACAGCCATCTATCCAACTAAACTTTCGCATATATAATACTAGCTGTCGCCTGTAACTTCGTCCACATGAATTAAAAAAAAACTTAATGAGATGCCTATTTATTCTTTCAGACTATGCTCTACATCGACGCCAAATTTCATCGAGATCCGTTGACCCATTCCAGAGATACTTTCAAACATCCATCCATCCATCTAAACCTTCGCCTTTATAATATGACTAAGATAAGATCAAATTCAAAGCATTTGTAAAAATTCATTTCAACAGTATCACATAAAAAATTTAATAGACATACCTAGTGTGATGTCGCTTTTGTACCAAAAGGAACAAAACTTCAGGTTTCTCCGAATGGCCGGTCATTCTGCGATATGCTCGGTACACGGCGGTCAGCTCACTGTTCATCACCTTACAACAAAAAAAAAGTTACTAACAGTTTACACATTTCCTCTAATAATTAAACTTTAAATAAATATGTATAAAATTAAAAAAAAACTTAGAACATGCAAATTTTAACCGACTTTCTCAAACTAAAATAACGTGATGCAGCCCACACATATCTGCAAAGAAATTTAAGGATATGTGTTAAGTGAACCCGCAGTGGGCCAGCGTGGTTGACTAAGGGCTGATCACCCCTGACTTAGTAGTCTCCGAGGCAGTGGGGACTCATAGTGAGCTGATGATGTGCATATTTAATCCAGATTCTTTAAGATGTTCTTAAATTAAGTAGTAACATATACATACATTCAAATTTTCGCATTTATACTATAATATAGATTAAAAATACCTCTTCAAATTGTCCCTCTGAGACACCATCACGGAATACATATATCTTCTTGGGCAACATATTCTGGTTATGTTTGCGATACACGATCAAATGGTCCACCATCATATCTTCAAACTCCACGATTATTTCTTTCTGTTAAATGAAACGGAAAATTGGTCAAATATAAATTATATTTCTTTATTATTCAAAAATATTATTTTAGCGAATTACGTACCTTAGGTGTCTGCACACAAAGTTCAATATTGTAGAGGAAGCATTTCGGATCGATGGAGGCAGTCACCGCTGCGATACTGGGAATGTTCGACTGAAACATTATAAATAAGCTATAGTTAAAAAAAAAAACAATAACTAGGAAAAATCTTAATTGTTACTAAATGTCTACTATTTTAAATTTAAGATTGTATACTACAAAATGATATTTCTTGTTCCCGGTGTTTCCGAGCCTTATTTGATATATGTACGGTTCCTGAGCGACTATTTAAGAAAGCATTAATCAGAACAGTGCAATTCGTAAAAATGAAACTGACATTTGGAGTAAAATATCATAGATTATTGTTGTTACCTGGTCAGGTGAGGGGTGAGTGACGTCAGCACCAACCACCATCACAGGGCCTCTGAGACATGACGGCATGCAGCGACCGTCCAGTGCTTGGTTAATGCCCATCAATTTAGAATTAACCTGATAAGAAAAAATAAAATTAATTAAGGAAAAATAGTAAAAAAAAATGAATAGAATCTTACTAATATTATAAATTGTTTATAAAATTTACTTAAATATCCTCTTGAAGTGACGTTTTTTACCTAAAGCCCGCTATTATACCGGTTTGGTTTTACGTGTATTTGTCAAAATTTTGTGAAAATATGATTTCTGCTACTTTTTTGTTTAAATTAAGTCAATTTATGAGCTTATGAATTTGATTATAATATCTATTATCCTTATATGTTCTTATGTATAATGTGTATGTTATATATCTCTTTAAGTAAATAAACTTACCTTCAATAGAATGTTTCGGACAGTTTGATCGTTCATGCGACGTGCCGCGGTGTCCTCCTTGATACATTGAGTCAGAATACCCACCTCCAGTTCCGCAAAGCGTTTCACCTTTATAAACATTGATTTATAAACATATATTACTCTAAGGTTATAAAGGTTTTCGTTTTTATATATATCAAAAACTACGATAATATAAAAACACTCATTTACAATACGTTTCTGAGACCCTAATATCCGTGTAAAACATATTTTTATCTCTAATTGATGGCGATGCGTCTTATACAGAGGTATTGGTCTTCAGAGACCCACGGTTCAAGTGATGAAATTTTATTTGCCGAAATTTTCTATGCATACTAAATATTTCCTGGATGTAAATTTTTATTTGTCTTTTGTTCACTGAAATGACAAATTTTACATAAAAGAAAACATTAAAATTAACTACATTTCTTACAACGTCAAAGACAACGGCCACAAAATCATCAAAATATTTTTTTAATATTTTTTTTTGTCTCCATCCTTTAACTTACCCTATGATAGTAATCGCGGCCGGACTTGGAGACAATAACGAACAGAAAGTTGATATCTTTCTCCAATGCGCTGAAGAGAACATTCGCAAGGTCAGACATTCTGATATTGAAGTGAATGCATTTCGGCTGCTCCACGTACATTCCCATCTGATTTCCAACACGAAGTACCTGCAAATATTAAAAAATATTAATAAGTAAAATATAAAATTCGGGCCCCTTTTTAAAAAAAAAATTACTCGATTGGATGAACATAAAATTTGACACAGTTAATGTGTACGATTTATAGTCGAATTTAAATACCAATTGGAAGAAAGACCATTAGTAAAAATCAGATAAACTAGCTGTTGCCGGCGACTACGTCAGCGTTGTGTTAAAAAAAGTTAATTAGTAGCCTATGTGTTCTTCCAAACTATATTCTACATCTGTGCCAAATTTCATCAAGATCCGTTGAACTGTACTGGAGATACCTTCAAACAAACATCCATCCATCCAAACTTCGGCATTAGCAAGTAAGATGGTCGAGTTTCTAGATCATGGGGCGACCACATGTATAAGATTATTAAATAATTAAATACACATTCAAGTTCGTCACCCAGAGGGGTAGACAGATATTACCAAACTGTTATTAATTATGTAATACTTACCATTTGAATAATATTTTGATAGTTGCACTGAGTGGGATTACATTCGATGGCTACAAATCCCCAGGACCTCAGAGCGCTCGGTTGCAACACTGTTGTGGCATTCCACACGCCCCTCCTGTAATATCCAAGTTACATAAATATTTTAATCAAACACATATTAAAATTGACCTTACAGGCAGACATACAGACAAGATAGGTAGACAAAAATTTTAAAAATTTAATTGTTGGTTATCAGCAAATACATCATGTAAACACAGACACGCCAATTTTTTTTTGTGTATAGATTAAAAAAATGTTTTATACCACCAGTTTACTACCATGGTACAGTTTATGTTTGAGATATATAATACAAAAATTAAAAAAAAATGAAACCTCGGATCAACTGCTTTTCTGTCTCCGACCAATAATCTCGGAGGTTGCAGTACTTTGGCTTCTACCTCCAAAAATTTATCAGAGATCTGAAGACCGAAGTGTTTGAAGAATGGATTGGCACTGTAGTTCATCTAAAATAGACAAAATAAATATTCAATACACTAAAGAATAGAAGATAAAAACAATTATAAAATTATTTACAACTAGCTGTCGCCCGCGACTCCGTCCGTGCGGAATTGAAAAAACTTAGTAGCCTATGTGTTCATACTATGTTCTACATATATGCCAAATTTTAGCGGAATCCGTTCAGCCATTCTGGAGGCACCTTCAAACAAACATCTATCCATCCATCCAAATATTGGCATTTATAATATTTGTAACAAAGATAGTAGTGAAATCCAAAATGTATGGATAAATAATTTTATTGAATTTATTGGATATCGTCAACATTCAAATTAAAACAACTTACATTTTTGATAACCTCCTCAATTTTATTCTTACGAATATTAGGAGCTGTTGCTGCTTCTTGGACCATTTTTGACAATTGAAATTCATTGAGTTGTTTCTTCATTGGCTGGAAATTAGAATAAAAATAGAATTTAGAATTCTAATACAATAAAAAAAACATATTACAAATACTATGATTACTTTGAACAATAACAGTGGGTTTCCGAGATCAAAATTACTCATCATCATCAACCTGCCCTTATCCCTATCGAGGGTCGGCACAGCATGTACTACTCCTCCATACATCTCTATCAGCCGTCATATTCGAGTCTTCCCCCTTCTTACGCATATCCTCTTTCACACAGTCATTCCATACTTTAAAAATTACTGTTTAAACATATTTGTTTTGTCGAAGATAATGACAGGGATGAGGTAAGTTTTATACAGATATCTTGGTCTCAGAAACCAATGCTAAGTTTCCATATATCTTGGTTACTTAATTGTTACCCTCACCTGTCCATATACAATTTCCAATAATTCCATGGGGAAATATAAACTTTTATTTGCCGGTCCGACCCACACGCAGTTGAGGTCAGGATACTTTAGTCTGCAACCAAAAAACAGACGAACAATTTATATTATATCATTATTGCTGTTTTGTTTTAATCTTATTTCTTACTTCTTACTTATATTAAAAATGCGATTTAATGAATGGATGAATGTTTATTACTAAGAATCTTACTAAAATTTGGCATAGATTTAGAACATAGTCTAAAGCTAGTAATATTTTTAACTACTAAACGAATATTACATGGTCATGTTCGCAATATTGTTTATCTAGGATTATTTTAAAATTTGCTAGTTTAGCATAAAAACTGTAATTAGTCCATAATTAACACCTTCAATGCCACCGACTCGCTGCGACATAAAAATCGTAATGATAGAATGTGTCAAAATAATCAGACTTTTTTTATTGCAACAATATATACCTATATTTCTTATCCCTGCGGAAATATTCGAGAACGGAGAGTTTCTCGGCTCGTCCGTCAGGATGTGTCATATTGAACTGCAGTCTGCCCGGTGGATCTACGACGCGGTTACAAATGAACTCGCGCCTCTGACCCTTTACTGAAGTATCGGCACCGATTACTGCCGTCACCTGCAAATATATATTTCATCAATTTAGTATATATGTAACGGAAACTAAACTGTTGACAAATATTTTTAACATGTTTTTATTTATTGTCCATTAAATTTAAAATACAAAGATTTAATATATTAAATCTTAATCTCTATTAATTATAATTAACGCTACATAAACCGCTGTGGTGTATAAGTAATTTAAATTCAATTTAAACGCTCAGTACCATTACGCGACGAGTTCTTTTCCATATAAAAAAAAAACATAGTGGCATTTAAAAGGTTAAAACAAATAAAATTATCTAAATAATATACTACATATTACTTACTCGTAAGCCCCTGATATATTCATGAAACAATTCCACATTTCTAGGATTGCGTTGCTGCTCCAAAGACCTAGTTGGGTCCAAACGGAAATCGTTGGTGAATGCTTGTATCATAGATTGGTGTTTCGGGAAGCCTTTGTGAGCAACTGGAAACAAAAAAAAGAAAGTTAATATTTATTAAAAAGTTTTCTATACTTATTACATTTAATCTAAAGTTGCTTTTGTTCAATTCTATTGTTTCAATAATAATCAAAAAGTAACAAACAAGAGAAAAACAATTGAATGAGATGAGACGAGAGACATATCTCTCTCTCTCTCTCTTGACCACTCACTCTCCCTTTCTCTTGACCACTCATTCTCCCTCTCTCTTTCCATGTCTCTTTCTCCTTTGCCATCTCCTTTACAGTATGGGTTTAATTTTTTTTTCCTATTGTCAACATACCATCAATGTTAATATACGCCTTGGATGTAAAGATGGCAGATTGAAACAGTCCCGTCCACATCTCCAAACCAAAACCGAGATCAATAGGATTGCCTGGACGTCTGAAAAATTGCTTCCCAGCCTAAAAAACAACTAAAATTATAAATACCAGACTTAATAATCCAATATTACTGTATCATTAAAGATAAAAAAGGTTACAGATGAAAAAAAAACACAATTTTTTTTATACTATGGAGGGTGAGTTTTAATTCAAAATATTAAATACCTTAACATACGCCTCAAGGGTCCCTTGTCTCAATATCACGTCAATGCATTGGATAGCTTCGGTTGGGGGATTCAGTGAACTACCCCCAGTCGTCATGTGCCTGTAGACAGAATATTATTTCTTATTGAACATAAAAACTCTTATCTAGACCAGTATCATAAGAAAGCCTAATATTGAATGAAATAATTTACTAATTGTGTCCCTCATATTTTCTTTTATCATAAGGTGGCAAACGAGCGAGCGGCCACTTGAAATCGCTGTAATAGCGTAGTGACCGTTGCCCATGGACATACGCAATTGCATATGCGTTGCCTACCTTTAATGGACGGAGAGGTTGCACAGAAAGAAAATATTTTCCCTTTCCTTGCATCCTCTCATCCGGAAATTCCACCTCCACTATCCATCCTTCACTTATAAGAAAAATGGTGGGAAGGGAAAGAGGACTAAATTAGGCCTAGGTGACGCACACTCATCAGACGAAACGCGGAATTGCTTCACTTCACGCCTGTCTTCTGTTTGGTCGTGGTATTTCACCGGACGAGCCGGGCCAATTCATGCGAAGATGTTAAAGCAGGCTCTACCACTGTTAAAATAGTGGATGTTGGAGAAATTTAGGTACAGTAAACCAATGTTTATGACCCATAACTGTGAAAGCATGTATGTGTTTTTAGACCACCCATGTTAGATAAATACTCACTGTCCCAAGCGATTTAAATCAACCAATCCAGTATACTTGAAAGACACCTCAATTGGTACTGTTTTACCATTGGAATCAATCAATTCCACCTGAAATTCATCAACATTAATTTCATTTTCTAATATAAAACTTAGACTTATTAAGTCATTTCAAGGTTAACATAATAACAGTTTAAATATTAGGTAAGGTAATGGACAAATAAGTTCATTGTTAAAAAGTCCCTCAATATCCTTGTTGGAGTGTAGTTGTCTTGTAATCTTTTAACCGACTTCAAAAAGGAGGAGGTTCTCAATTTGTCTGTATGTTTTTGTGTCATTTTCTATGCTTTAGATTCATATATTTCAGCACTAGATAAGTTTGTTGGACTTTTACAGCACCACTATCAAACATGCCAGATGAATTCGCCACACTATATGTTATCACTTACCTCAATAGCATGTCGTTCTGTTTGAGTAACGCCAGTCAATGGTTGAATGCTGTAGCAATTTTTCATTTGATCGAAAGCAATTATATGATTTTTAAATTGCAAAGACTTGGCTTTTAGGAATGCTTCCGGTATCATCTTTTTTGGTCTATCCGGTTTAAAAGAAACATCATAACGATGCTGTAAAATAAATCAGATTGGTTAAAATCTAAGCAGAGTTCTCAATTCAATCCATACTTATCAACATTTCTATTAAATAATAGTAAAACTGTTCTCTTCGTAATACAACAAGATTAATAGAATTATGAATAATAGTACTAGTAATAACTACAGAACTTGGATAAGGGAGAATCCATGGTACCGGGCTATATTTCTCACTTATAGACACTTCTCTCTTACACAAGTTTCTCACTAATGGAGGTCATCCAAGGTTCCTTGCTTATCCAAGTTTAACTGTATTTCATGAATTTGTTTTATATTTTAAACATATTTAAAAATATAGTAATGAAACTTTAATAGAATAAAAACATATCCAATCTTACTTATTACCAATTTTTAAAAAAATATTATGGAAACTTACGACTTTGATGTACTTGATGGACATAGGCAAATAATTTGTCAGTAATCTAATAGCCCTCGAGGGCACCGTCGCCCGCCTTATAGCGTCTGGAATCTTATACTGCGACACAACTTGTGTTACAGCTCGTTGCTCAGGCAGGTCTCTTTTTCCAAAAGTGGATTGTGACACTGTAGAAACTGGGGTATACTTGGGCTGTGGAGCCTGGCCTGGTCCACGGAAAGCTTGCCCTTCCGAAGGGCTCATCGGTGTTGATGGTCCACTGGACGTGGGCTGGGGTCTACCCCATTGAGCAAATTGCCCATCTTGACTTCCCTGGCCTCTCCCAGAACTTGTTGTTGGTCCAAAAATACCCGGGTGACCCAAACCCCTCTGTGGAGGAAAATTGCCAGCCTGCTGTTGGGGCCATCCCTGACCGCGACCTCGCCCTCTTCCTTCTCCTGATGGACCAGGTTGAGGCATTTCTTCTGTAATTTCAGCAATAGGTTGCCCCAATCCAGTAGCTTTTATTTCAGAAGGTGTAGTTTGGGCTGAGGCAGTTTCAGCTGGACCAGCTTGAGTTTGACCAGCACTCTTCTTTTTACGAGGCTTCCGCCTCTTGCCCCCAAGATCTAAACCAAGTCCTTCTACTCCTTCCTCTATTGGTTCCGCAGAATCTTTGGGCGCTTCTGTTGTTATTTTCTCCGCTGTGCTAGGCGGCTCTGAAACTTGAGCTTCAGATCCTGACGGAGTTGGTTCGTCAGTTTGAGGCGCAGCACTTGATGTTGATTCTTGTGCTTCCTCCTTTTTTTGTCCCTTTTTCTTTCCTGTAATTTAATTTTAAATTAAACCAACATTTAGTAAATTTAAATACAGTTTAGCAATCAAACTGGGAAAGCAACAGAATTCATTACTATGTACAATCCTTTTAAAAAAAAAATTAGCAATAGGTACTGATTTTTATGGTATGATACTAATTATAATCTACATTTACAAGTTTTTTTTATAAAAGAAGGGGGCAAACGAGGTGATCAACGACACCCATGGACATCTGGATATATGAACATCTGCAACAACAGAGGATCTGCAGATGCGTTGCTGCCCTTCAAGGAAATGGTATTGCTAATTTCTTGAAGGACCCTAAGTCCACCGAGGAAAGACCGTTACACAACTAGCGACTCAAGAATCGCACCGTTGTGGAATACCAGCCATCCAGGTGCGAATGGAACCTCGTAGTCTGTCGTGTTGTCCAATGACGGAACTCGGCAGCAGGAATCGTCCAAACAGTTCTTCGGAACACTGCCCATGGTAAGTGAGGTAAAAATGCAGAGGGAAATGACGTCCCTCCACAAGGCCAGGAAATCAAGCCAATCAGTAAGAGCAAGCATTTAATTCGGCGCAGGCGAGCGCCGCGGTTGCATTTTTAAGATACGCGTAGTTTTTAATCTTTCGATATCTTCTAAAGTATTGTTCAGAATTATAATAAAATCTAAACTTAATACTCTAGCCATCAAACATATTTATTTGGATAAGGATTCATACCGAATATAATATAATAGCGCAAAAGCTATTGATGGTTACTAGATGATGTAGTCTAACAAGCACAAAGTTTCACATATTACAATTAGCTTCATTTGCACTTAAAGCTATAAAATTGAAAAAAGCATGTTATATATTAAAGATTATAAGGATAATGTATATAGAGGAGAGCAATTTGAATGTAAGTGAGCTATACATTATTTATTTAATAACTGGAAAACTATATTAATAATGATAGCTTTCGCAAATGGACAATAAAAATAACAGTATAACATCGCAAAGAGAACAGACAATTTTAAAAAGAAAAACAGAAATACAAGAAAAGCAAGCGGCTAACGAACTGGAGAACAAAAGAATTTGCTGCTCAAATCGCTTCAAATGTCAACAAGTCTAGTATTAAACAAGTCGATGTGAGGACTTTTCCTTGATATTAAATTAAACTGTCTGGCCGCTTTGCAAAAGAAAGAGTTTGCTGTAAAGTTTGTCAATACTCGATTTATATAATACTATTATTAATAACTTTCAATATTTATTTATAATACTAAGCATATGTTTGTACAAAAATTATTAGCAATAATGAATAAATAACTAGATTAGTACAAAATTTTAAATCAGCAAAAATGTATGCTCTGTGTCGCAATAATACCATCTATTATTTTGTAACAAAACATATTCTTATCTCTTACAAGTCTTCAAAGATTTATCCGTGCTTTTAATTGACCAACATATGTTCTCAAACTGGAATCATAAAGATATTGGCATCAATATCATTTTGTTTTATTAATCAAAACCAGCTTGTGTAACAATTAACTTGAATATTGTGTTATTATTTTTTTAACAAAAACAACATTTCAAGTGTATGCAATATTTCAATGATTACAAATTTTGAAACCCTTATAAACTTTGAATAAAGTAAATTAATATGATTCTATATCAATAAGTATTTATTCTTCTCTTTTATTACAAAAAGTAAACAGATAACTGTAATTGGTAGCTTTAGGTCTCCGTTAAAAAGACAAATAATCCTATAGGATAGGAAAATTAGGAAATATTTTACAAATGTTAAATATCAATAGTTAAAAATAAAGTTATAGGATTAAAGGATATAATTTTATGAACATAAATAAGATAAATAGACAGAGATTCAGATCTACATACATTATCATTAGGTTTTATAATTAATAAAATTCAATTCTCACCTCCTTTCGCCATTATGAAGTTGTTTCCTGAAACAAAGTCAAAAAGGTTTTATTTGATTATGATGACTATATTTTGTTTTTGACTAAATGTACACTAGCTCTACTAAATTCTTGCATTATATTGCATCATATCCACATAAAATTTACAGAAGTAACTATATACATAGTAAAGAATACTTGAAAGCAGATAAAAGTTTTAAATCATTGAATTGGAATATATGCAACATAAATACGCATTATAAATAAAAATATAATAGCCTTGTAATATTATGAAATATGTAACAATTGAGTTATAATTTCAGAAAACAATTTGATTTAAATGAAACATAATAATTCGCTAGCTTGTATAGAATAAAGACACTAGATGAAACCAAACATATTACTTTTTACCTTAGTAATCGATTATAAACAACAAAATGTCGGCCATCAATTCCCCAATCGACAAAGAATTGAATGGACCGACGCTTATTTTGTAGTCAACATAAACTTCACTTCAAAGTATAAATATACTGAATAATAAGTACTCCCAATACATTAACATGAAATAAAATGCCTAATCCTATACCACGACTGTAGATTAAACAAATAGGCAACTACATTAATACTTACAATAACGCAGGGATCACTATAACTATAAATTGCAATACACACTCGAATTATGATTTTTCCCAAGATAAAGAGAAAAGTATTGAATAAGTGACGAAATTACTGTTTATGAATGCATAATATGCAACTTGCTCGATATTTGATTTGATATTGGGAATAGGGTTGTCAAATTGTCAATGTCAAATTGAAAATGTTAAAAAACACGAATTTACCAATCATAGACAATTTCAATGTCTTACTAATATTATAAACAGAAAAGTTTAGATGGATGTTTGTTAGAAGGTAGGTAACTCCAGAACGACTCAACGGATCCTGATGAAATTTGGCACAGATTTAGAGTAGAACATAGTCTGGAAGAACACATAAGCCATTTCACTTACTTTGTTTTTCTTTTTTTATTTCCGCGCGGACAAAAGCTAGTCCAAGTGTACTAGTATAATAAGCAGAACAAGAGCACAATTATGGGGGTAGCTCATAAAAATTAGGACACACTGTATGCAATTTAGTAAGAAGTTAATAAAATAAACAATAGCGAAAAGTATTGTCGGGCGAGGTTTTTATGAAAAATTAATAAAAGCAGTTGTATAATTGGATTTTTGATGTACCAAATAGTTAAGTGACAGCCTTTCTTACATAAGAGTCGAACATTTTTGATGGTGACTAGATTTAAACTCTTTGGAAAAGTGTAGCTGAGCTAAGTTTCCTAACATCTTCTAAACCCATTTACAATTATATAAAAAATACAATTTAAAAAATTTGAACGACGAATTTTAATGAAGTGAAGTGTAGTAAATCCAAGGTAATGAACATTTTCCAAATAAGATATGACCAAAAGGTCTATGTTACCAGGTCATAAAATTAAAAAAAAAGAGCTTAAGTGTTGAGGACAAAGAGCAAAGAGTATATAAAATAAAATTGAGGAAGTAAACTACTCTTTGATTTAACTTTGATTAATTGTGATTGTGTGAGAAAATAGTGTTGGACTTTTATTCTTGTGTTGTTGTATTCAGTTCAAATAATAAGGAAATTGTATTCCAAAATTTGTCTATTTGTTTCATGGCATACTCGCCAAAGCTAAATCTACGTTAAGTCAATTAGAATTTAAATTCTATTTTGTTTCTAAGTGCACGAATCATCAAAATGTGTGGTGGTTTCACTTGTTCTAAAAACGCTTTGATTGCGTTAAATGTTCTTTATGTGGTAAATTATAGAATATTTCGATGAGTCAACCATTATTTATGTGTGATATTTTCGTTAAAAATTTAATTTATTATTACAATTTTAGGTGGTGGCTTCTATTCTTATATCCGTTGCAGTATACGGACAAGCATCGTCCCTGGTGACCAATTTACCCATAGTGGGTGGGATTCTTGCTTGTGGAGTGTTCTTAATATTAATATCTTTGCTAGGCTTAGCTGGAGCGGTCAGACATCATCAAGTTATGCTATTCTTTGTATCCTTTTTTAACAATATTAAAATTATCACATTGCTACACATCACATACTTTCTCTTTGTGAGAAAAACCTTTGTTAAGTAAAAAAATGTCAAGGCTATGCTAATACTTTTACTAGATTATAACATTTATGCTACACAAACCAGAAGGACATTCACCAATCTAATCTAAGCTGTAATAATGCTTTATAAGTTGGAGTCCATTTTTTCTGCATTTTTAAGATAATAAAAATTTTTCGGTAGTATGATTTGCATTGGAAAAAAATACAATTTCATAGATATTTATTAATTTACATATTAAACAATCTATATTGTTTCATTAAAATTACTTGACCTGACATATAAACCACTTAAAAGAATCAGTAATTTAAGCTTCTGACAATAAATGAATTTAAGTGAAATTTGTTATTTTTCCTCTCTATATGAAATTAAAATTGCCAACTTAATATAGACAATCTTTAACTCAGTTATCAGTACATGGTGATACTGTTTCTTCTATTTCTTGTTCAATTTTCTGTAGCATGTGCCTGCCTTGCTGTAAATTCTGATCAGCAAGAGATGCTAGCTCAACAGGTGAGTTATTGCCATTTTATAATATAGACAATTTTCCTAATACCCTTTAACATTGCACTATAATGTATTGGTTGAATAAATATGGAGTATACACTATGATGACCTTCTATCACCTTTGTTAATAAGATAAACAATGTGTACTTGGCTGAAGACATATTTTATATTTATAAGAATATAAATACATAATTATGTAAATCTATACCAGTATATATGAGTATAAATTTCTCACTTCCCTGTTTTATACAAATTATAGAATACATATGCAATCATTTCTGTCAACAACAATTCTCATAACTATATATAGATTGTACATAACACTTTCAGTGCTACTATGTGAATTTGTCATATGTAGTATACAATGTTATGAGACTTAGATGTAACAATGATATTATAGACTAGCTGTTGCCCTCTACACCATCCGCGCGGCATAAAAAAAAACTTAATGAGTACCCTATGTGTTCTTCCGGACTATGTTCTACATCTGTGCAAAATTTCATCAAGATCCATTTCGACATTCCAGAAATACCTACAAATAAACATCCATTCATTCAACCATTTGCATTTATAATATTAGTTAGATTTAAAGAGTCTACTATATTCCAATGTATGTAATTGTTAATGGTGATACAGGGATGGAATAAAGTCGACATGGATGTAAAGGAGGAAGTCCAGGAAAGGTTCAAATGCTGCGGTTTCCAAGACAGATCGATTCCTGCAAATGGTACAGCCGATTATCCCTCATGTGATATTGTTGATGTAAGTTGGGCTAATGATATTATAGTTTAATAAATTGTTGTACAAACTCTCTGATGTAGATGTGATGAAAATTAAGTCAGCTGCCTACGGCCAAAATTTTATAAAAAACAACAAAGTACCAAATTTGGTTGATATTAAAATTTAATTAACTACATACAAACATATAGGAAGTTTCTTCTTTTCATGACAAAAGTATAGATTAATGCTTCTCAAACATTTTAAAATGGCAGATTAAAAAAGTAATAAAAAAGTTATTTAAGAAGATTATGTATAGATTAATTAGTACACACTATAAATATGTATTTGACCTGTAATTTAGTAAACTAATACCCTGTGTTCTACACTTATTTTTTACAGAGGGTCTGTTGCCAGAATATGGTGATCACACCTCATTGTCAATGTGATCCATGCATGGAGACATTGAAAGAGAGAATTGATAATGCATTCAAGCTTTGCGGTGGAATTGGACTATTCTTCAGTTTCACAGAGGTATGTGATTTCATGTTCCTTTTGGGGTAATAACAATTGATATGTCCTATAGAAGCTTGTCTATCTCTAAACTATCTTTTAACATTTAATACTTTTTGGATATTTTTTGTGTTTTATTGTCATGACACCTTTAAATGGAATGTTTAATTTGAATGAATTAATTTGAAATTATCTTGTTGGCAATATATTAGTAATTTTTATAACTGCACTGCAAAATAAAGACTAAATTTAATAAAAATATTATTATGTTTTGATAATTTAGTTATTCTGAAATAATAATAAGCTAAAACACAAAACATAAAATGAAAATTTTTATGTAAAATTTTTTTTAAACCTGTAATTTTTTTTTATTCTATGGTATTTCCGTTTGCTGTATCAGAGATATCCAGGATCATCTTTTGGAAAGTTACTTGCTTTTGGTGAAAAATTATCATATCCCTACTCCATTTGTTTTGTGATTTTTTTATGGTGCTGTTTCATTACATTTTGTGTTTTATATTATAGGTGAAAATGTATTTTTAAATAATCATTAATGTAACTAGCATATAACGCTAGTTATATACTAGGATTGGAACTAGCCAAATGTTTATTGGTACAACATAAAAATAAAAATGGCGCATGGGATTTGTGACTAACTGTTTGGGCGATTATTTTTCCAGTTTCTGGGTGTTTGGTTGACAGTAAGATATCGTAACCAAAAGGATCCGAGAGCTAACCCGAGCGCATTTCTGTGAATAACCTTGGCTAATGGAGATATGAGTTTTTAAGGTGGATTGCATATAGCGCTTTGCTTTGCCCTTTTTACAGGCACTGCATGACAGCATGCTTAATGCTAGGTTTTTTGCATAGTGTTGTGAAATCTTTTCTCGTTACATAATTTTTTTATAAAACTTTTTAACTTATTATAAAAAAAAATAACAAATATTTTAATAAATCATCAAAATATTAAAAAAAAATAGATGATAAACTGTGGTTGGTTAATTGTATTTCCGCACAATAGATAAAAATTGAATAAGTGACGTTCAAATTAAAAAAAAAAATTTCGAGTTCGAATAAAAGTTTGACAAGAAGTATACGAAACAGTAATCGAGTTGTTTTTATAAATTAATGAGATTATTACAATATCATTGAAACAACGCAAAAGATCCTCTAGTATACAATACATAAATAAATAATAAAATATAAGATAATTTATCACTAGAAGACGCGGGCAACGTATCTTGTTATGTTTGGTTTTAAACTATGTTTGCCTACAGAAAACATACTTCTGTTTACAAGACGATTTTTAGATATATATTAAGTTTTGGCCTCGAAAGTTCTATAATATTTTCTTTTTTTATTTACATAATTTCTGGACTATCGAAATCTTTGTATATGGAAGATATTATAGCTATTTTTGACGTAAAATATAGTAAAATTTTCAACTATACTAGAAAAGAAGATTCTAGAATACTTTAATCTCATATAATTTGTTCTATAAATATTAGGGTTATGTTTTCTTATAGTCTTAATTATATTTTATCTTTATCTTCTTGATTTAATTACAGATTTGTTTTTTTTAATGCATTAAAAAAGGTTAAATTTAAAGCTTTAAACTAAAAATAACGTAATATTGCACCGGAATGAATCTATGTTGCCTTTGTTCAAATATAACCGTGTGTTACTACTGACAAAACATTCGTACAATATATCAGATTTTTTTGTATTGTAGCTCAGTTTTTTTATATTATGGCTTAGTTTTTTTATTGAAAATGAAAAAGATGATATTAATATATTGGTACGAATGTTTCGTCAGTTTGCAACACAATTGAATGCTTTTTTCAGCTTTAACTATTGATATAAATTGCATGTTAGTCTCTAATTGTTGGTAATTGAAAATGTTTGCATTGCATGTCGCACGCACTTTTTATAATATGTTTTTTATAATATAATTGAGAAAAAAAAATAGCATTTTAACAAAAACGTAGCAGGCTGAATGGCTTTACTATATTAAAAAAACAGTTGTTAAGGCTCGGCTATTCGCCGCGCCGCTAATATTTTTTTTTATTTTTTAATGGTAATTTTTTTTGATTTTTTTTTCAGTTATTTGCTGTTTGGCTCGCCCGACGTTACCGCAACCAGCCTGATCCTAACTACAAGGAACCGCACGCGATTTTCCCTAGAAAAAACTATCTTTACTGATCCATTCAAGCCAATTTTAGGTTGTACCGTAGTGTTCACATGACTGGTTTAGGATTAATATGTGATAATATAGTTATTATCTAATAGGAAAAATTATTCAGACCTCTTTGCATAATTGCCTATACTAAGATTTTAATTTGCTTTATTTTTTTTTAAGTTTTCCACCTCCCTTAGAAAGTTCATGTCGTGTTTATGTGTTGTACACAACTGATAGATTAAGTATAGTTTAAGGGAAGTCGTCAGTTCCTAAACATACAAAAAAAATACAATTATTTCCACACTAACAGCTTGTTTTGGCTTTATGTAGGTGGTCATTTTTTTATTTTTTTTTTATTTTTTAACAATAACATAAAACCTATTTGAATCAGAGATATAGCATAATAAGAAATTTTAAAATTGATTTGGCAGTTTTGAAGATTATTCATTAAAATCGTACAAATACGCATTAACTTTAAATATTATAGTTTGATGCAATAAGTGACAGTGCCAATAATCTTACCCAGTAATGAACCTTGACTCTTGAATATATTTTTCTTATTATTCAAATTCATAAAACTGTCTCGAAGAAATAAAATTTAAGGTCAAACGCTGCATAAAAATGTACTGTGTTAGTTTACTTTTAGGTTTTATTATGTAATTTTATTTACTCATTATAAATAATTTTAAGTATAATGAAATATTACAAATCAAGTCATAATTTTATATGAAATGTGATAGCAAATTAATGTGAAAGGATTTCTTTTAATTGAAATCGAGGTCGGCCTATTTTTATTAAACTTTTTTTTTCTTTTTAAAGCTAAAACTACGGTAGACGATGTTCACAAACGCATCTATACAATAACATAAAATCAAAATCTAAAAAATCTAGGAAATATTTTAATGAATCACCTAAAAATATGAAGTCAAATATATTTGATAGTTTGGGCTACATACCAAGGCCGACTTAAAATGTCGGCATATTTTTTTTTTTTAGAAAAATGACTTTTTTTTTTTAATTTTGCCAAACATAATATTAATGAAATTATTGATGTTTTATTTAAATCATGATTATTGTAATTAGAGGTGTAGTCAAAATAACAAAAATTTCATGCTAGTTAAGAGTACGTAATTGCATGTCCTTAAAAAAACATTTTTGGCTTACGAATATATGCGTAGGAGCCATCATATCAAAGGCTGGGGCGGTAAATGAAAAACGTGGACTTTTCTTGTGCTGCAAATATATTCAGCTAGTCAATATATTAGTTCGTTATAAGTCAATCTTCCTTAGCTGCCAATGTTTCTGACTAGAATCCATTGCAGTGACACTTGTAATAATCATCTCGTTAACGGGTTTAGGTATATTAGCACCATGGACTAGATTCCCACGGCGCCTTAATTTTTACCATGATTGGATTGGTTAAGAGGATTATGTGAGACTAATTCGCAGACTTGTGGTGCCTCTGTTTATAAAACGCCCTGGGCGATCGCCCAATTGCGTCCTATCCCGCCGGCCCTGTACATAGTGCCATCTCTTTCGTTCTCTTTGAAAAAAACAGAGACAACAATATGTATACAAGTGTCACGGCCCTGGAATTCAAGAGTTGTGTGAATGATAAAGATTTCAATGAAACATAATAAGTTCCACATTTTGTCATTTTTTATATCTTTGTATTTTTCATTTGCACTATATTTATACTTCTTTACAGAAATAGCTTTAATTAGTTAATTTTACCTGTGTAGCGTTTGGTGTGTTTAAGTGATTTTTTTTACATTTTTTTTGTATAATTTTTTCTGTACATTTAATGGTTTTCGAATATTTTATTGCCCTTTTTGCCAGTCATTTCAATTAAAGTAGTATACATATTTTTGGATGGACTAAATTTTTATGGAACTGTTTTTTTCATTTCGAAAGTTTTCAGTATGTTTAAAATAAACTCATGTACATATGTAACTTCTTAATCTGTGAATAAATGGTATTGAGCATTGCATTTTTGTCATTTTATTTAAACACAATAAAATTCTCGAAGTTGTTTTGACGACCAATGCATCGTCGTCGTAATCATGTTGTTAAATTTTTTCACCAATGAAGCAAAAGAAAACTTGGAATCTATACTAATATTATAAAGCGGAAGAGTTTGTTTAAACGCGCTAATCTCAGGAACTACTGGTGTGATTTGAAAATTTCTTTTTTAGTTGGATAGTCCATTATAGAGGAAGGCTTTAAAAAACATAAGACAATAATTTTTCGTAAGCACAAAGTTAAGACGATCGTTATCCGGAATTTATATATTAGAAATAAACAGATATATTAGAATACTAAAAGTGAATGGATGTTATTTGATTTTTAGCTTTTAATTTTACTAATATTGTAAATGCGAATATTGGATGGACGTATGTTAGAAGAAAGAACGTCCGCATGGATCTCGCTTTAATTTGGCATAGATGTAGATCATAGTCTGAATGAACACATAGGCTACTATTTTCGTTTTTTTTTAAACCCGCGCCTACTGATTTGCGGGCGGACAATAACGTATAAAAAAGATTTATTTGTAAAACGACCGTTTGCTTACATTAGGTGAGGCTATCGATATTAGATAATATGCCTATACGACTTATCACTGAATAGTTTACACAACCAGCTTATCTTTGCATTTCGTTTTGTCATTTAGTTTTATACAAGAGTTACAAGACCATCTCGTATATTAACGTTGGCGTCTACCAAAGCTACTGCGCAAGCTTTCGACGCATCCGCGCCCCGTTGCCGTGCGGAAAACCTTAGTAGGGTTCTGGTTATTAGTGGGAGCAAGTTAACATTGATCCATTACCTAACAGCGTTAGCGTGCGGTGTCGGTGTTTACTACAATGTCCTTCGATAAAGATGAACTCCTTGACGAGTGAGTATATTCTTATATTGTTATCTATATGTATGGTTTAATTGTACGATTAAATAAAATTGATTCGGAAAGAAATTTCATTTGTAGTCGCTTATTTCTTTTAACATATCTCATAGGATTAATTTTGTATAGTACTTTTAATACATATTATACTGTAATCTAGATTTAACTATTAGCTGGATATGTAAGTTATGGTTAAAGTGGTTATTGGATCGGTAAACAATAAGTGGTATCTTATAGGTATATGTCTGTACATTTGTACAGTTATCCCTGACTGACGATGAATGAAAACTAGGTGAACTTGACTTGACCTCTTTCTTGTGGCAACCTACTTAATAGGTGTTGGAAAATCTTTACACAATTAAATGAGTTAGCAAAATTTTAAGTGCTATTGCTAGATGTACGAAGGGTGAAGTGGAGTACCAATTTATTTGATTTATAGTCCTTAAAGTGCTACTTAACTGAGTTTCCAATAGTTTAAGTGGAGCGTGCTTCTCTGTGTTTTCGAACCCAAAAGAGTTTGCTAGAGGGGATGACAATTTGTACTTTATTTTACAAAATATTAGTATAATTTACTATTCTAAAGAAATCGGTATATTGTGAATTAATCAAAATTGACATTTAGCTATTATACTATCTCATTTCATAATTTAATGCCTTTGTCTTTAACTAAGAAGAATTTTTTTTTTCGGAATGACAAGGGATTTTGTGGATATCGCCTTTTAAGTTTTTAATACTCTTTGTTACAAAGGCCTAAAGCGATAGTTTTTCTCAATTGGGCGGTTTGTTATCGTAGCAAATTAGCACATGGGTTTATAATTATAAGTGTACATGTATGCGACAAAAATTATAGAATGCGCAAAATTTATGTTCTGCCGGTTGAATCATGTTCAGACGTAGGAGAAATGTAATCATTAAAGAGTTCTGCCTAGTCTTTAAGATTTAACTTTGAATCTTGTACGGTGACATCTCTACGTGTTTAAAGTAATATACTTTGGTTGGTGATTTTGTCAATTCAAGGAGTCAATGACCACTTCAATCATTACAATGAAATGTAAACAAAGGCGATTTTTTAAACTTATCTTAATATTATAAGGGATAAAATTTACTTTCATTTATTTAACAAAGGTTGCATAGACACTACGCAGAGATGAAATAATTGACCAACTTAATAAAAATAACCTTAAAAAAATATCGATTCGTAACAGCCATTTAGGTAATCGGGCGTAGTTGTATTTCAGTTGATTTATAGGAAATAAATTCACCGTGGTATAGACGATCGTCCTTGTAACTGTTACGGTTGATATTGATTTTCTTATCTGTTGTTTCGGCTGCGTGGCCTATTGATCGAAATATGTAGCACATAAACCACGGGTCTTTACTTCGATCTTCAGCAGGAAAAACTACTTAATAATCGTAACTATAAAAAAAATACGGGTCGATCCTAATGTAGAACTAACCTATGTATCCTATATCTTATGAGATGTAGCCGTTCTTCCGATAGGTCTGATGTTTGCAACTTTATTTGAAAGACCAATGTACTTTAGAGCTTACATTTCGTAGAGCTTACATTTTGATGTGCCTTACTTTGTTGCCTTTGAATAATCTAACGAGATAGCATCAATTCAAATAATATCTAGACAAATAGAAATTTAACCTTTATTGTATTCGTCGCTTTCTAATATACAATAGAGAGAGCTTTTATACAATAAATATATAGTATTCCTATAAAGGCGAATTCAAATTTGGAGCAACCGTTTTCTTAAAGGCATCAATAAAAGCCTTGCGCGACGCTTTTCTGATTTAATTAACAATATTGTTGAAAAGGGTCGCTAACGCTTTCAATGATGCTATGTCCTTTGCCTGGTTCTATTTTAGATCAATGTTAACAAATATTTACAAACTAGATGTCGCTAGCGACTCCGACCGGTATTAAATAAAATAATAAGTAGCCTATGTGTTCTTCCAGACTATGTTCTATATTTGTGCCAAATTTTATCAAGATACGTTCACACGTTCTGGAGATACCTTCAAAAAAACATCCATCAATCCATCCATCTAAATATTCGCATTTATAATATTAGTAATAAATAAGATTTACAAACAAAATATATGTTGTATTACTCTTTTTTCATGTAAATGAGAGAGATAACAGTATGTTTTTATACATTCTGTAAGTAAAAGCCTACAAATACAAAGATAAATGTTTTTGAAATAATCGTCAGATATTTCGTGCGTGTTGTATTTACAGCAAAGGTCAAGTTGTGACGCTCTTGAAGTATCGAGATTTTTATCGAACAATAACAATTATAAGTCATCGGATCGTCTACGCTACAAAACCATTTGTTTATCAAATAGGTCGAATTACCAAGAATACTTTGAATGACAGTTGAGTTTTAAAAAACGCTTATGAATTAAAATCATACACCACAATGTTTTTTTCTCTCGCTAAGTAAGTTTTTAATCTCCACTGAACTTGGCTTCCGGCTTAGAGCGTCGGTGGCTCAGGGGTCAAGCACTTGACTTACAATCTGCAGGTCCTGGGTTCGAATCCCGCCATGTCCCAACGTGTTTTTCGATTTTCGATTTAAATATGTACATTTATCCGACGTTCTTACGGTGAAGGAAAAGATCGTGGTGCAACCTGCACATATCTGAGAAGAAATTCAAAGATATGTGTGAAGTCAACCAACCTGCACTTGGCCAGCTTGGTTGACACCCATGACACTAAGGGTAGCCTCCGAGTCCTTCGGTGTGAACGTATAGTGTGTTGATGATGATGAACTTGGCTTCCATTTCACGATAAATTTCAAAAGATACGAAGATCTAAAGTATCCGCAGCATCAATATAAAGATTTAGTGCCAACATGAAGTATAAAATAGAAATTAGATAAGACTTCTGAGTGAGTAAGACTAGACTTGTGCCACCAACTGTCAATTTTAATATTATTCAAATTAGTATACATTGATAGAATTTAACCTATAATCGACAAATTATCTGTTTAGGTTATTAAAGTGCATCCTACGTAGGCTGGATAAACCGATAACATTTAATATAATAAAACACGTTGGGTCTAACGTGACGACTATAAGGAATTATTAAATTAAAATGGCAAGGGTTCGATTGTACAGCGGACTTTTATTTTCAGTCCATTTCAGTGAAATATTATTTAAACTTACAATACAATTAGGTCGAAAACTCGTCAAAACAACGTACATACGTGCTAAATTATAGCTCTTATGGTAATAGTTTTGCTATACAATATTCGATCTTCGAAGCGAATTTAATTGTTCGATATACATCTGTCTATGTCACACATATCAGATATTGTATTTTGCTTCCATGTCGCGCGCACAACGGACCGCGCAGTTAAACGCTTGTGAAACGCAGTTGTGAGTGAACGCAGTGAATGTTCTAACAATATCCCGTGTTGTGGTGTTAATATTTGATTTTATTTTGTAAAATATTTAATTTTCTCATTTGTGTTGAAATAAAAGTAAGTAATTCATTAAATTAATTAAATTTTGTTTGTTTTAATTTACATTTTTAGTATGAATTATGTTTTTTTAGTTCAGATAAAATGTTTAAATTAAAAATAATAATTCTAAATTTAATTTTAAATTATTGATAATTCTTTTCTTAAGACAATGTAATTATCTCAAAAATAATATTGCATCTTTTAATAATTCCTATACAATACGTAGAAAATATTTTGTTTATATTATAAATACTGGTACAAAAGACTGAATACTAGACATTTCCAGTTATTGTAACAAAGATTGCTTGTGTGTTGTGGAATGCAGCTCTCATATGACCTTGTCACAACGCTCGCAAATAGTAAATTGCGAGCATAACATTTAGAAAGTTAATAATCAATTTAACCTATAGACTCGACCAAATTTGTTCTTTTTTAAATAACCAGTACTATTTATTTAGACAATGTTACAGTTTGGATTATTTTATTTATATTTTCCTAAAATTGTTTTGTCAATATATACGACAATGAATACAATTCTAGTATAAATGAGGATGAAAACCTTGAATTGTACAATTAAAAAAAGTGACTAAAGTATTTTTTTATTTAATTTTATTTTTAATGTTTTTGTGATGAGTAATATGGCAAATGATGTCCATAACTCATGGATAAAAGTTTGCCATTCAAATAATGTAACACAAATCATTACTAAATTAAAAAAAAAACGTTATTCGGGTCTAATTTAGACAACTAAAAATGTCTAATGCATCATAAAACAGTGTTTATGACATTTTTTATTGTTTTTTTAGTTTGTATGTAGTGTATTGTGTTGTATGTGTGTAAGTGTATTTATTTATTTATTTTTATATTTTATTTACATTATATATTTCACACATCTCATTCAAACATATCACATACACTTAATTTATATACAAAAATAAGTTTATATACACAAAAAATAAAATACCAATATAATATAAAAGACATATACACTTAAATTTTCATCAACACCTTAACAAGAATTACATATATTTATTTTAATATCAAAGGTAACATGCCGTGCAATTCCGAAGACGACAATGGTGTGCCCATCCACCAAAATGGCTGTCGACTGACAGCTGATCGGAGCGCGTTCCAATACGAGCATCGACATCAGATACAGGACAATGGGAATTCAATGAGTGAAGAAGTAGATCCGGACTTAGTTAGGTTGTTAAATTATTTTAACTTCTCAAAAAATAAATCATACTAATATTATAAATTCGAAAGTTTAGATGGATGGATTGATGTTTAATTGAACATATATCCAGAACGGCTGAACGGATCTCGATGAAATTTGGTACAGATGTAGAACATAATCTGGAAGAAGACATAGGCTACTTATTAAGTTTTATATTTACGCGCGGACGCTGTCGCGGGCGACAGCTATAATAGTATATTATAAAAATGTTCGAACTACATCTGCAGTTTAAAAATGTAATATATCTAAGTGTTCCTGTGTCAATATTTTTGTATCGTACCATGTTTGTATAAATCAACAAAGGCTGTGTCAGTAAAAAAAAATGTCAATATTTGCTTCACTTTACGAGCATGTATTCAAGCATTGACCTACATTAACAAAAAATGTCTTTTCAGGCTAAACTTAGCACTGTTAAATTAAAATTGTCTTTAACTAAAGTGGCAAAACTTTATCTTTTTAACTTTGTAAATGGTCAAAATGACGATTTATAGATAAATTTAATAATGCTCAAGATGTTTCGAAACCTATAAAATAGATTTTATTATTTTAACAGAGAGGCACATTGTAATTATTTAGTGTTTTAATTCTAGAAAAAGGAGGCCAAATTTTAGTCCTCTTTTCCTTCCTACCCTTTTCTTATGGGGGTGGGAAGGGGATCGGGATTTGGCGGACCTCTCATCGCATAGGATGAGGAAATATTCTCTTTTTGTGCATCCCCTCTTCCGTCGATTACGACGGCAACGCACCTGCAATTGCGGATGTCTAGAGGTCCCTTTCGACATTTCGGTGACTTTAGATTGCCCCTTGCTCGTTTGTCACCTTTAAATATACAGTAAAAACTTGTATCAAATTTCTAATATACTTATTATCAAGTGTTGATAAAGAAATCGCTCTATGAGCATGTATTCTATTTCAGATAACCATGATAACATGAAAATCGATTAGTTCACGATAAAACTCTTACATCTAACGCTTAATTAAAATGCCTTGACATTAAACTGTGACGCAGATTAACTCGTTTATATTTAAACAAATAATGAGTGGATCGTATTTGAATTTTCATATTATACTTTTAGACATTATTAGTTAGAATTATTTGGCGCGTATGGCGCGCTTTCGTTACAATGTCAAGTGTCAGCATGATTAGTGAGGGGACAAAAACGTCGACATTTCAGTAAGGCTAGTGTTGCGCCAGCACACCGACACAGTGTCGGATTTTCTTCCTAACAATACTAACTTGTAACTTACAGTATACTGTTGTCTTAGAAGATTTAGCGGCTAAAAATATTATATTAGTCGATTATATTCACTATTTACATAGGATGTGCATTAATCAACATGTACCATATTCAAATGTTTTATTCCATTTCTATAAAACTACAATTTACTATTATTTCTCAGATAGAAAGTTGTGAAATGAATTTCTTTTGTACTTGAGCAATTGCCATTTTTCGCACAGCACAATCATTTGTAGGATAACAAAAGAAAGCTGAGGGGAGTATTATAGGAAAAAAGTTAATTGCAAACATTTTTATTGGAAAAACATTGTGAATTGTTATTACCAACTATTCCATAGTTGGTAATAACTATGAAAAGTATAAAGCACATTCCATTTTGAGGTCTAATTTTAGTCCTCTTTCACTTTCTACCTTTTTTCTTATAAGGAAAGGATGGGAAGTGGAAGTGGATTTTCCGGATGAGGGAATGCATTAGAAGGGACAATATTCCCTTTCTATGAATCCCCTCCTTCGTCGATTATAGATAGACAACGTATCTGCAATTGCAGATGTCTATGGGCAGCGGTCGCTTCGCTGTTTCAGCGATTTCGGGTGGCCGCTAACTCGTTTGCCACCTTATAATATAAAAAAAAACAATATATTGTATTGTACTATCAGCGGCATTGAAAAAGGTCAATATCCAGGAGTGGATTTACACAGGCTGGTGATGATGGTGGTGATGAACATATTTTGATTTTTATTGCTTTTAGAAGTGGCTGTTTAAAAATTATTTAGTATTTAGACAGTGCACTTTCTATGACACATAATTAATCACATTATTTACGAGTATTTTGAATTTACTTTTAAACAAGAAATTTGATTTTTCCATTGCAGATATCCCGATGGCACCGTACGCCTACGTAACCCAAACATCGAACTTATGGACCAAGACATCTTGTACCACTTGGCGCTCGGCAGTGGCTCCCACGATCTCGTCGAAATGTTCGGCGATGTTCAAGTAATTTTTATTTGCAAATTATAAATGCAAATAATCCACAGGAATTATTCTTAGCTGTCAGAATTCAGATGAATAGCTGTGGTCACTTGCATTGGACTGACAACAACTTTTAAAAGTAAATAGGCTAAAGAAAAGAATCCTTAAAAATATGATCGTGCGATTAGGGAGATCGTCACAATTTAAGTATAGCTGATACGGGAACCTAAGGGGTTTGGGAAGAAGGCACTATTTAGCGCAGATGACATTAAGCCGCCAAAATATTTAAAAAGACAAAAATAATTATAAAAAATCTATCCTTGGTACACAACAAACGCATAAATAAAATTCTCATTCAAAAACTTCTATATGTATTATATCTTATTTACCGCATGTCTATCCAGTTCGTTTGTATGGGGGGCACACCGAAGCGCGTGGAGCAGTTCGCGTATACGATCATGGCCGAGATTGGGCACAAGCTGCCGTGCGGTACCACGCTGCAAGACATCAGCCAGTTCTCCTATCGCTACTCCATGTACAAAGTCGGCCCCGTCCTCTCTATAAGCGTAAGTATATGCAGTAAATAGTTCTCTAGAATTGGCAACATACTGTATACCTATGGATGTCGGGAACCAATTTATTTTACTGCCCTACATGCAGGCGTGTACTCTTGACATTAGTAAGGGAAAGATTGTAAGCATAAAGTACAAAATTAAAAACAAAATATGTATAGCTCAGGCATCGTTGCTGGTTACAATTTTTTTTTATAAAAGTTACTTGTTGAGATTTTTGGATAGTAGTCGTCATTCGTTTTAAATATCATATTTGGCTTAAAATGTAGGAAAAACTAAGGAATAATTTGTTCATATCGGATGTTCGAAACGAAGCGAAAATTCAATCATATTAAAATCGATAGCATCTTTCAAATTATTTAACATCAAAGTAGATTTATTTACATTCCTTATCTTTAATATTTGGCCTTAATGTTACGGATTTATGTCAGATAAATAGCCTCAGAGGTCGCAGTGTCGAATTTAAACAGAATTTTATCAATGAATCTTTGTTATTGCAATTCTTACTAATATTTGCACACGTCATATAAATAAAACCATTCGACTAAAATTACATCATTTAATTCTTCATTGGATGTGTTGATGATCTTATCGTACTTTTTGAGTATTCAATGATCGTAAAGAAAAATTTCAAACTAAATGTAGTTACAACAGTTTTGTTTGGATTTATAATCTTACTTTTTTTCCGTTATTGTGCCATTGTCTCTAACAATCTCATAATCTGTATGTTGTAATCCTCTTATGACTTTATTAGTTAAGTAATAAGCTACTTAACTAGTTGTTAACGCTGTTATGTGCATTTGCATTTGTCATTACACTTGGTAAAAGCTATATACTAATCATTTAAGAGGTGAATTGTAGTTTTTTATACACCGTTTTGCATCACATCTTCTCTTACCGCGAGTTTCTGACGATAAAATGTCTGTATAAAATTTATCATCATCCCTGTCTTTCATCTTCAACAAAACAGAGATAACAATACGTTTTAAACGGAGATTTTGGTCTCAGAAAGCCATGGTTAGTCAATTTTTATGTCGTATTTATCATAGTTGTGTTGTTTTCGTGTGTAGATTAAACGACTTCATCAATTTTGCATCGTGTGGTGTTATTTAATTCTTAGGAGTACCATTTGTCAGTTGGATTTGGACGATCTTTTAAATAATTAAGCTTAACATCTACGTTTACATAAGTGCAAACTTGATATAAATTGCATAAATCGTCAGCAGTCAACTCAGCGCTGTCGTTTCAATTGAAACAAACGAGACTATACGATCAATGTATCGCTGGGGGATTGTTTTTAAGTACATCATTTATTTTAACTCGAGACTTCCTTTTAAATTCCACCGTATCGTATATCTTATGTCGAGTGAAGATTGATGTTGTTAATAGAATAAGGGATATATTAACAAGAAATACTATGCTTATACTATTAACACTAATATACTAAGACTGGAGAGTTCGTTTATTGTTTCCTTTGTCTCAAATTCAAGGAAATCTCAGAAACGATATCCTAAGAGATAAGAATAATAAGGGATCCTTTCTTGTTATCGAATTTGACAAATTAATTCTGTTACAATAGCTTTAAGACAGGTTATAGGATAGTTCTTGATAGTTCTTTTAATGACGAAATGAACACAAACATTGTAGTTTTTTTAAGACAGTCTTCTAAGAACTGATAGTGTTTACAATACGCATAATATCAAAGTATGGATGATATCTATTATCGTTAGAGCAGATTAAGCCGATTATCATGATGTTTATAAAACAATGCATACAACGGAACTGTTTGCAAATAACAATGGCATTGAATGGCTTCCGGTCAAATGAAACATCGTTTTCAGTTACCTTTTAAGAGCTTCCTCGTATAACTTATATAAATAAAAGGTAGTAGAAATTAAATGCAGATTATAGTTCAGTTATTGAGTCTGAGATTAAGGAAACTAAAGTTTTACTTGAATTAAGTTTTGTTGCATCACTGCCTGCTAAATGTTACTTATTATTTACTGTAGGTAACTTTTTAAGCTCCTTTATTGTTCACAGCATTTTTTTTTCTTATCATTTTATAAATTTCGTTTTGTTTTGTTTCAAATATAAACAATGATAGCAATTATATGTTATTATTATGTTTGCGATAAAATTTTGTTACTATGTCGTCGTCAGCTCATAGGTATAACTTCACCGAAAAAACCGAGCTTATGTTAAATTAGGAGTTATGGCTTAGTCAACTACGCTAGCCCAGTGCAGATTGATTTTATAGTTCTTAAAATTTCTTCGCAGATTTTCCGTGTCCTTACGATATTGTCCTTTGCCGTAAGAATGTATCAATGTAATTACTTTGTTTCCAGCACGGTATGGGTATACCGTCTGTAGGCATCTTACTCCATGAGGTCATCAAATTGATGTACCACGCGAAGGTGCGAGATCCTGTCTTCTTCAGGATCGGGACGTGCGGTGGCATCGGGTACGAGGGTGGCACCGTCGTTATATCAGAAGAAGCTGTGGATGGCACCCTAAAGAATGCTTTAGAATTGGTAAAAACGTATTTATAATATTATTTGTTTTATTATTTGATTCATTTGGCGCGAATGGCGCACTTTCTTTAGCAAGTTAAGTGTCTGATTGATTAGTTAGAGGACATAAACGTTGATATTTTAATAAGACTAGTGTTGCGCCGATACACCGGCACAGTGTCGGATTTTCTTCCTGACAACTGATAGTAGATCAAGTAATGGTGAGTCATTTTTGATTAGCAGCTGCAACATCAGAGGAATTGTAAATGTGATTAAAACTTCGTTTTTTTGTCAACATATTTGGCCAATAACTTTTCAATAAACAATTTGTTATATATTTCAACGTAACATAATAGCCTTATGAAATTATTTGCTTACTTAACTCTCTAGCTTAATGCAGTACAATTTATAAATGCCGACTGTCGTATCTAACGTATTCTGCAGCACGCATTACTTAACCAAGGATACGCATAAATTATACGGCACGTTATGATTGATTGCAAAATAATTTATTATTTACAGACGGTACTAGGCAAGACAATACAGCGGCTGGCGAAGTTAGACCGAAGGCTGGTGAAAGAGCTGAAGAGTCTAGCTGATCCAGAAGACCCCTATGATACTATAACGGGAAAGACGATGTGCACTTATGATTTTTATGAAGGTTAGTCACCTTTTGACAGTTCCTAGGGTGTAAGAAGCACAGTAACTTTTACATTGTGTTTTTTTTAATTTTCAAAAGAATTAGTAACACGTTGACTTGTTAACTTGATATGTTAAGTCCTCTGTAAAATTGATATACAGCATTGGCTATGTTTATGAATAAACTAGCTTTTGCCCGCGACTCCGTCCAAACGGAATAAAAAAAAACAATTATTAGCCAATGTGTTCTTCCAGACTATGTTCTTTATCTATGTCATATTTCAGCGCGATCCAAACTCTCGCACTTCTAACACTAGTAAGATATGTCTAAATAAAATAAAGAAGAATTCGTCTACCTTAATAATGATGGCACTTCACGTATACTATACTATAAGATTTTTAACCAGGACAAGGCCGTCTCGATGGTGCATTCTGTGACTTCACGGAGGCGGACAAGATGGAATACTTGGAAAGTATCCACAAGGCTGGTGTGGTGAACATCGAGATGGAGTCACTGGCATTCGCAGCGCTTACACACCACGCCGGCATCAAGGCGGCTGTCGTCTGCGTCACCTTCCTCGACAGACTTAAAGGAGATCAGGTACGGTTTAATATTTAGATTTCAAACAAATCAAATCTTCTTAATATAAAAAAAATAACAGGAAACTTTAGTACGAAGTAATTTACTCTGTTTCTAGAATATTTATAATAGTTATGAACTTGTTATAATAATATCTTAATGTAAAAGTATATTGGATAAGTTTTGATATAGATGCATACTTAAGTGGAATTAGTAATAATTATTTTCATTCTTAACCTTGTAAAGTTTCGAGAAAATTTTTTGGTCAAAAAAGAATCTAATGGGAATTATTGACCATAAATTCCTATTTCAATTTCAGGTGCTGGCACCTAAAGAGGTCTTGGACGAGTGGCAGGAGCGTCCAACTAAACTCGTCTGCCGATATATTAAAAAGTAAGTAATCCCGTAAATTCATATCTCTTGTATTAATGTCGATGTAGACTAATAAGATATTTTTTCATACAGGCATTTGCAAATGAAGGGTCGCCTTTCATTGGAGGGACACGGTTCCATAGCCGTCAAAAGTCCGCGTCGTTTCAAACTGGTTCAGCAAGAATCTGAAAATTATGATTAATTCAACACCATTCGATCTCAGGACTTTACGTACGGTCTATGTTTACCAACGAAAGCTACTGTGTTTATGTCAAACGCCCTTAGATTGCTTGTTGTTCTTGTCTGTATGTTTTTTTTATTAATATGTATTTATTACTGTAAATTTACACTGCTATACAAAAACATCGTGATGCAACCTGCACATATCTGAGTAGAAATTCAAAGATATGTGTGAAGTCAACCCGTACTGGGTCAGCGTGGTCGTCTATGGCCTAGTCACCCCTAACTTAGTGTAGGCTCCGAGGCCCTCGGTGGAGACGTATAGTCAGCTGATGATACAAAAACATTATGTACATTCCACTCTTTCTCGAAAACAATGTTTTGTATAGATGTTTCAGCATTGAAAACTCGTTATGTATTCCTTTCGTTATATCCTTTACTTAAAGGAAAATAAATATGAGTATAAATAAACTAATTATTACTACTATATATAAGCAGTAAAGCGTAACTTATGGTTTTTCAATTCAAATCTACTGCAAAAAAATATTTATGAAAATTAAAAAAAAAATATTGATTAAAATTCTTATTACATTAATTGTATAACTTATACATACTTTTTACCAGATTTTTAAAAAGGCGTTTCTTGCAATTGAAAAAAAAATATCATGTGATTTGTGAACAACTAATTTAACAATAATAGTATTGTTATGCCTTTATTTTATATAATAGGCTTCAAAGTAAGCATGTCTATTTAAATTTTATTTTTTGATATATTTAATGTTTTCTCTCAACATATCTCTGTAAATCTGTATTTTGACAATTTTTATTACTCCCTATTTGATTAAAATTTTTTGGAATTTTCAATACTATAAGCTTTACGAGTCCTTGTCTACTATGTATTAATTAACTAAAATAAAAAAAAATCCTGTCCTAGCAACTTCATAAAATTAAAAAAAACGTACGTAAAATGTTTTTTTTAAATCAAGATTTGACCAAATCTTTGTAACGAACGAAATTTTCTCCTCGCTAAATGTAAGTTAAAGTTACGATAAAAAGAGAAAAAAAATGGAGTTATTAAAATAAATATTGTCTAGTATATACTTATTTAAATCTTTTTCATATCCTGTCTTCGACTTATTCTTCTTAAAGACCCTACCGATTGTTACGAGTCCATTAATTGAATCTTTTTCAAAGCCACATTTTGACGACCTAAAATTTGACTATTTTAATGTATTTTATTGTTAAATTGTTCAAACTTTCGTGAGACATAATAAACTGATATAAAAACGGCTAAACACTCACTTATATTCGTCCGGTGGCGGCACCGACTAGTTTCGAGCCCTTGCGGGGGGCATTATTTCGCGGACGCGACCCGTGAGTACGGGCCACGGCCGAATATACGTGAATGTTTAGCCGTTTTTATATAAGTTTAGTATTTTATCGCACTTTTTTGAATATGTACAAGTAATATTGTTGCGAATGTATTTTGTATTGTGATAAATTTTACATTAGTTATTTGTTACGTGTTTTGTATGGACCATGACAGAAAACCTGCTTTTTATTGGTTTTAATTTAATTAACCATTATTCCATATCAAAGTTGACCAATTGATATATTCCATCAAATACCATTAAATGTTAAATGTTGCCATTTATAAAAAAAAAAAGAATATTCCAACTGTGCTGTTAAAAAAAATAATTATTTTAAATTTATTCGTTAATAAATAAAGTCAACCTATGTTATAAAGAGAGTATAGTTGAAACCGATTAAAAAGCTGGTCGACTGATCGATAAAAGTGCTTCCACGTCAATATAATTGTTATGTAATTGCATAAACATCGACAAGAATGTAGTCTGCACGTGTAATAAGGTACAATAAGATATTTTCAGGATTCCGTTTGGAAATGGGTCTGTAAGTTTTTAGATGGGATGGACAACTTCGAGGTATTTGGTGTTTAATTCGATTAATAGCTAATGTGTGTGCACTAAGAATAAATTAAAAATTATTAATCACTTTTTAAACTTTTACTAATAAACGTATAAGTGTGTTGCGTAGAAAATTAAGTATTTCTTGATATTGAATAACCAGTATTTTTAAGAGTTTACTTTTTAAAAACTTTAATGTCTAATAATTGCTTAAAAAGATCATGTTTAAATCGTATTGTGAATCTCAAAATATTACGTATAAAAAAAATTTAACTCGCACTTGTTAATTTTTAAAATGTTGTCTCGTTTGAACTTTCTTAATTAACTGTTAACGAAATGAAATTTATTTAGAAGTAGTGGTAGTAACAGTTACTTGCAAATGTTGATTGTACAAACACAAAACAAATAATATTTAAGGTCACAAATTAAGAATACTTATAAGCGTTGTAACTGCTTGAATAGTGTTAAATATATAATAAATGCAGTTTGTTCCTTTCTATTTCTTATTATTTTCATATTTTTAGAACATTTTTCAATCTTACTTATTACTAACTAGCGGTCGCCCGTCGCGGGGCTATATAAAAACTTAATTAGTGTAGGCTATGTGTTCTGTCAGACTATGTTCTATATGTATGCCAAATTTAATCGAGATCCGTTCAGCCGTTCTAGAGATATCTTTAAACCTATTCATCCATCCACATCACATCCATCTAAACATTCCCATTTATAATATAATATTAGTAAGTTAAATAAAAAGTAGCTCCTCAAGGCATAAGGCATGGCCATCGAAAAAAAATGAATAAATAGTATCATATGTTCGTCTCCTGGCTCCAAGCTACCTCCTCACCAATTTTCAGCCATATCGGTAAAGCCGTTCTTGAGTTATAAATAGTGTAACTAACAGGACTTTTTAATATATATAGATAATATAAATGCGAATGTTTAGATGGATGGATGGATGTTTGTTGCCATAGATAATAAACCTCGAACTCTATAGCCCATTAGATAATCAAATTATTGTAATTAAAAAAAACTTAGTTTGCAAGCTTTTAATTCTTATAACTAAATATATACACTTTCTCTATCTACACCAAAAACATTTTAAATTAAAGTAGAAAATCAATTAAATATGAAGGTACAGGTAAAGTTTAAGAAATAAAAACAGATGGCACAGATTATGCAATTTAATACAAATGAGTAAAGAAGCCTTAGTATACTAGAAATAAAAAAGTAGGCCAGTAGCGATAGCCTAGGATGGACTGTTTGAGCTCACTGGCATTTAGTGTTTGCATTATGCCAGTTGTATGTCAGCGCTGATTTTAAGTGCGACTGGCTTACCGTACTGGCATAATGTAAACCAGACATAATAGACAAGAAAGTGTTCATGCCTTCTACTTCATACTCTTACATCGTTTTTAGCAAGAATTCTAAATTGATGCAGAATAAAATAAGACAATAATTATTGCAAGACAAAGAGATATTCCTAAATGAAAATGACTTAGAAAGATCTCATGCAAATAAGAAACAAAAGACTTAAGTAATATGCGAAGCCGAAACAAAGCTAAAGACTGTACAATATGGGATAAGTAAGAAATGAATTATTTCTGGATACCAAAATATTCAGTCTTGATTAATAAGTATTTACAAAAATTCTCACTATTTTTTTATATTTTACTTGTGTGCCATGTGTTTTAATTTTATTGAGTATACCTTATACAAATAAATGAGCATTTTACAACTATATGATATCTATTTGAGCTGCAGGAACTTCATAAGTGCGTCTTGTATAAGACGTGGGCTGGCTTCACTATCGGCAGTATATCTGACTCCTCTAAGGGCCCCATCTTCATTTCTAACAACACCGTACTCCCCTACGATAAATCCATCGGGTGTTCTTTCTTCGACACGATACTTTTTATACTGTCTTCCCTCCACAACATATCCCACTTTACAATTTTCCTGCTTACAATTTTCATTATTCGGCTTTTGAACACCATGGCTACGTCCGTCAGTCATGACGCTGATTTTTTCATCTACTTCGTAATTCTTTTCAGGTTGATGTTCTACAATATATCCTTCTTTATTAGTTTTATATGTTACTGTTGTTATTGGAGTCGTGGTTACTTCAAGTTCTCTTGTAGGAGACGTTGGTGGTATTGTTCGGGAGCGTGGTCGCCAAGGCGTATGGTTTGGCAATGGTTCTGGTGTGAGATGTAATGATGCTGGTTGACTGTAAAATTTAGCTGGTTCACTGTAAATTTTCGCCGGTTCACTGTATATCTTAGCCGGTTCGCTGTAAATTTTCGATGGTTCGCTGTAAAATTTCGCCGGCTCACTGTAAAACTTAGCTGGTTGACTATAAATTTGAGCAGGTTGACTATATACCTTCGCCGGGGGATTGTAAAATTGTTGACTTTGACCAAAAGTGTTACTCTCTTGGTTATAATTATTATCAATCTTGGGATTGTCGTGTACTATATTAAAGCTAACCGTCGTCAATCGTGTGTTTCTATCTCGTTCGTGTAATGAATCATCCGTTAAACTTTGTACATAATTTTTAGCCGATAATGATGAAATCGATCTGGCTATTGGAATATTTTCAATATTTTCCTCAGTTTCGCTAGCAGTCGAGTCTATATCAGAATCAGTGTTGCTCGTTGATTCGGTTGTATGATCATCGGATATGTTGTAATTAAATTGTTTAACTGTTTCAAATGGATTCACTTGCTCGTAATGGTTTACGCCTCTCGCTTCTTTCCGTGCTTGTAATTGTTTGATAAAATCTATGTTAGCACCGGTATACGGCATTGCATCAGTTACGGTTTCGTTTTCGATGTCCTCGATCGTAGTTGGATTCGTAGGATTTATTTTTGTTAGAATTGTCGGTGGTATTGTGACGTTAACATTTGGCATATATTCATTTTCTGGTATCTTGTTAGATTTTGCTTTCCCTCTTCCCACAGCAACTGAAGACGTTATTCTTACAGATATAACTTGTTCGTTATGAGTTTCGGAGGTATCTCCATGTTGTATTGCAGCATCTGCATCGTCTCTCACTCCCGGCTGCTTTGTAAATGGCTGGCTTACCACTAGCGCATTAGGCAAGATCTGAAAAGAATGAAAATCAAAGTAAATAATTTTATTAAATGGTTTAAAAATATTGTTAGTGTAAATTTCTCTAATTTAAGAACTAACAAGAAGTATCAACACATTGATACAAAAATGTTTTTGGCTAGATCATTGATTAATAAATCGTATAGATTAGAAGTGGATAGATTACATTGAGAAAAATAAGTAAAGTAAGTGTGCCGCAGACTAGTAACATCTAGTGTTTGTCATAATCATAGAGAGGAAGGACATTCAAAGTCTTATTCAACAAATGATGTTTTTATCAAATGCTGTAACAAGGCTCAAGATGGTGAGCAGCAAGGCTACACGCGCGGTCACTGACAGTTGCACGCCGACACATTCCGAGAAACATTTCCGCTCCGTTTATTAACGCCTTGTCGATCAAACCTATGTCAGCAGATAATATCTTGATCGTACCTAGATCACTTTTTGTTAAGACTAAGTGTGATATGTTGCACATAATTTTAATTAGC